TATCGTGTTTAATTAAAAATTAATTTTAAAAAAACCGACTTATTTTTAATCTAATATCGTGTTCTTAGGAAGAATTTATGAAACATTGCATTTGGAATTTTCAATTGAATAAACGAAGCGAACTTAATTAATGAAATTATAAAAATTGAATAAACGGCCAATCGTATACAGTACGTTTCTGCCCACAGTTTCTGATTAATTTATTCGTTGATTAATTAATTCTCCCGCCTCCTGGTTTCGCAATTCGCACATCGGCCTTCGAACTTTTGCCGGCGGCTGCCCGCCATCGGTGGTGGAACGCGTCCTTTATTTGCAATCCTGAAAATGCGTGCCTATGTGTGTGTTTTGTATTTTAATTAAAAACGGGAATAATAATTTATGCACGACGCTCACAAATCGCATAATGGAACTTGAATTCCAGAAAACCCATTTTTGAATTAAATTTTAAAGTTTTATCTCCAATATAAGACATTGCGTGACTTGTTACTGAGTAAACAAGGTTCTAAGCTTGAATTGAATTATATAAAAACTAAGGTTTGAAGAATACCTGTTTGAGAGGCAAGCAATCATACGATGTGTCGAGGACTAAACGGAATCGCAGAAAAACAAAAAGGCAAGAGCGCAGGTTAAAACGGTCGGCCCTAACGAGCCTGTGTGCGGAAACACGGTCGAGGAAAGCGGTCCCTCGTCCTGCTCGCGAAACGCATTACCAGCGAAGCAAAGCCTGAAAAAGGCAAGCGGGCGCAAGCAAAAAGGGCCGACCAATTATTAAATAATTCAATTTCTTTGACAAGCCGTCGAGCGAGTGAGCGCTCGTTTGCGCTACTTCGACGTCTTAAACGATCTTAACGGCTGGCCTTTGCCTTATTCAGCCACGCTAGGAAGTTAACGTCTTCTACCTAGCACCCTTTTCTCGTCCTGCGATGTTGCCAAAGAACAGCCGCCAATGTTGATCTAATTATTCTAGTGTGGTAGTGAATATTCACAGTTTTAAGAAGCTTCCGAGCAAAAAAATGATTGACTAATCCTTTCAGTTTTATTAAGTTTTAAATTCACAGATAAATTTACTCAATACATTTTTTTCTTCTTCGGAAAAGTAATGCCTGTTTGTCTAGTGAAGAATATTTTTATTTTTCTCTACGATGATTTTGGGGCAGCAATTTCGAAACTTAATATTGATCAATCAACTCGTTATACACACCAAGCCGAGGAATCTCTCTCCGAGCGCCGAATGGCGTAGTATCTCTGAAGTTGTGTAAAGTTATGTGTTTGGCGTTGTAATAAACGTCCGGAGAACGAACGATTTTCCAGCGAGTTCAAGAAGAATTTCTTCCGCTCACTGGCCGACTCTTCTGGTCGTTTTCGTCTCTTTTCGCAAAGATTCTCAAAAGACTTCAAGGGATGCAACTGGCGCTAGATTGATCTGAAGGAATTCAGGATGAAATTCACGTAACGCACCGAACGGCGGCCAGCGGACGAAGCAAAGAGCGCAACAACAGAAGAGGCGCACGAAGTGAGTGTAACGAAGATAAATTGGCCGCCGACGAACCGATTGTAGCAAGAAGTAGAAGTAAAGTTGACGACCAGGACAAGCGTTCCGCCGTTTCTCGACCAGCGGTGTGTAAGTGTTCCTTTTTGATCTTCCATATTTATTCAAAGCGAGTGCAAACGTTCTGCTCGTCTTTGGAAAGGCTTGCGCGCAATTTGCCGAGCTGACCAAGAATTTCAATTCAATCGACATTGCGAAAATTTGACGCCTTGGTTCGTAAGCTGATTTTAATTTTGGTAACATTCTTGACGTCGATATTTCCCAATTGATTTGTTACGCAACCCACAAATTCCATGGGAGAAATGTTATTATCAAATAACTTAATAAAGAACTCAGTTACGAGCATCTCAGTTCTCAGTTATGAAGGTGCGTTTTTTTTGTTGTGGTTACTGATGTGGAAATGAATATGATAGCAGGAGCCATGTTTTTACGAAGTGAATTAATGCTCTCCTGAGATACAGGTACTGAGAGCGTACTGACCGTAAAACACAAAAACTCATTACAACTTTCTCTAGTTGCGTTAGCCACCCTCGAGAGTGTGCAGTGTTTTTGTCGCGTTCCTTTTGCCCCGCCTAAAAGTATACATGTTCATATATATTTCCTTATTCTCTTCCTGCTGCATTCCTTCAATTTCAACTTGCCTTGTTTCGTTGGCGTTCTCCTCTTGTTCCAACTTTTTTTAAAACTCTAATATAAAAGTTCATTCACTCTTGGTTGTATTTTGTCACCGTTTTTGCATCGTGTTTCCGCATAACTTGTTAGTATTTATTTGATCTTTGAAGAAAAGTATTTCTAGCAGGTCGAGCAAAGTTACTGCCCACGGATGATCGCAGGAAACTACGCAAAAACGAGAAGCCGTAATAAAAGGAGGTGAGTCAAAGAAAATAAGAGAAATAAGGAATGAAGGTTGTAACTTAACAATATTCCCCGAGTCCCGATTGTATCCGCAAAGTTTATACAAGTTCTCTTTTTTGTGCATTGCTTATCTCGGAGTGTCTTTCCTATAATTGCATTATAAAAGTAAGACGGCAACAAGAAGTAAATGAGGTATTGTGGACTGGGATTACAAGATTTATTATAGGGTAAAAACTATTGAAGTTTCCCACGCTTGGAGAATGGATTACTATTACATCTGAGAAAAATATCAAAATACGATTATTTACTCATAGTGCACGATCAAGTCAAATATCAATATCATAAATATTAATTGATGCAAGATATAAATATTTATAAATAATATTTATAAGAATTTTACGAATCGCTGTTTTCATTCGATCGCATGTTTTGCTTATCATGAAGAAGAATTCAAGTGTTTCTTCTAATACATTCTAAGCAAAAACGATTCCGAGCCGTCTAGATTACGGTTTTTTCAAATGCGCCCTGGCATGCCGGAATCGCATTATTGTCTTAATTCATTGCGATGCTTCCAAAATTCTTCCAAACACGTATAAGAACTATAAGCAATAATTATAAGCATCAATCAAAGTTAGCGAATTTTTGCCATTCCGAATAATTCCTGGTATTCTTTCTATTTTTTACACTTTTTTGCTCCTATTGCTGGCCTGTTCTATTGATTTGTACTCACATTATTGAAGTTTAAAGCAAATAAAAAAGACAAATGACCGATATAAAATATTTGTTATCGCTTTGCTGGGGTCCCGCGTTTTATGTAAATAATACGCTGAGCAGTCGTTTTGGTGGTATATGCAGAACGCCTGCGATGCTTTATTGATTCTGTTAGCGATTTATATGTACACCTAATCTATCGATTTGATTTTCAAAATAAGACCATGAGGACGCTCATAAAATCGAAGCAACTCAACGTTTTATGACCCGTCGCGAACGTTACAAAGCAAAGAATCGACACAGTCCTGGGTTGTCGCGGCCCAATTCGTAGACATAAAAAAACGCATAAAATAATACACAAACTCTTTTATATTCACGGGTTTGATGAAGAGCCCTTTACAGCTATGCCGCCACTAGCGCAAACACTTCGAAATTCACTATTCGATTTTGTTTAATTAGGAAATCGTTAAGCTTAATGAACACCGAAAGTCGCTAGATAAACAGCAAAGGGTAAAATTTAACAACTAATCCAAAGATGTATAAAACGTCTGCTCAGTTTATGTGAAAGTATATGTAGTGTTTCTTCCCTCCGCTATGTCGTAAACATTACGCTCAACATCTATAATCGGCATTATGTTAAATTAGATAGTTTATTTGATAACAATTATGTGGGATTACCAATAACACTAAGAAATTAATATGTGAGAACAATGAAAATCTTGTCATACTTTTTGTCTTATCAAAGTTGTTCAATAGACTAAAATGTTTTATCGCTTATTGGAAGGGTTGCGCGTTCATTTCATGATTGTTGTTCTTGTTGGTACTTCCATGCCGAAAGTTAGTTAATCTACGCCTCGAGTGCGCTCGGCCTTCGTGCGTCCATGCAAAAACAAACGCCAGCCCCTGCCTTTTGCTCAGGTTGTTAAAAACGGCGCAAACGACCGCCGCACATGTACACCAAGGTAGGCGAGTATATTAGCGATGCTTGTGGGGCCGTGGTGCAGGATAGAAAACGCGGCGGCGGTTTTAAACTTGGTTATCTTCAGATTTATCGGGCGGAGTTTCGACGGGAAAATATTTATGGCTTAATTTACGTTCTTTATTACGATGCGCGACCGACGTTCGCCGCCCTTGTATGACTCAATGATGTACAATCAACATACTTGGTGTTTACACAATCACCCCCGTTAAACAAAAACAAGATTATTATAGCGTATAAGAATGCTGTAACATCAAAACAATATTTTTTGTTTGTGTGTTAAAATAATTATATCTTGCATATATAATATTTTAGTTATTTATACGTGGAAAATCTGTGCAAAATGAATTTTACGCACCTCCCCAACTGCGGAAAGCCTTTTATCCACTTAGCTTCAAACGTCGGATGGCGTAAGTTTGTTTATTGGGTGGATGATGCCGAGGGATGTTAGTACCTTGTACATGTGAAATTTAATTAGGTATTATGTATCTTCAGCTGGGCGCTTTACCTTCACCTTGCGTATTCGCGTCTGGTTTTATGCGCGCGCCCATCATCGGATTGTGTTTGTTTGCCCCGTGCTATGTAAAGAGAGAAAACCAAGCACGTTGTCGGCGCACTGTAAAATGGGGAAAATATAGCGATGCCGAAGTGCGTTAGTAAAACGCTCGTTAACAAGTTGGTGCTTTGTAATGCAAGAAATCATCGTTTAATCGTTGGAGCGCGAAGAAAGGAAAATTGAGCCATAAAACGAATTATTTTCCGGAAATTTATATATTCACAGTGCAAATCACTAATAAAAAATGTTGAGATAACTACAAATACACAACTTTTAAATTAGATAACAGAAAATTGAAGTGTTAACATATGAATATTTATTTTAATCCAACTTTATCAAATTATGTTTTCTTATTATTCACCACATCAGCATAGAAGCTTAATCCTAAAATTTCTTTTTTATCCAAATTTAAAACGAACCTCAATCGATAAGTACCAGCAGGCACATTTGGCGGAAAATTGTCAGCGCGAAAACTTTGATTATAACTGACATAACGTATTGGGTACAGTGGACAGTCCGTCACCGCAGTACCATTAGTATACTGCAATTCCAAAACGTGATAACAATGTCTTCTTATCAATTCACAATAATGCAACTCAAACTGCAGCAATTTTAGCCGATATTCATTGCTAACACGTCGATAAACGCTTATGCTCACAATAGCCTAGTAAATAATAAATATTAGATAATATATGCATTATAAATATATAGATGTAAAGCAAACTTTGTCTGAATTCTCCAAAGTACGTCTAAGATGATGTGTATAGTTGAATCCAAAGTCGATGCGATTTATTTTAAACGATTTGAATTCCACTTCACGAAATACTTCAGTATCAAAACTATCCAATTCAGCTCGGTCTAACTTGACATAGTACGATGTTTGTTTACCCCACTAAAATATAAAATAAGTTATAAACTTCTAATTCATTTTTATTTAAAAAATATATTTACTTCTACTCCTTTTATCTGATTATACAACATGAAATAAAGTATTAAATTCGTAAAAACAAACATGTTTGAACTGCTTGAAAGGACGTTATGGAATAGTAGAAAAATATTTCCTTTTGAATGTAGTTGATGCATTTCCAATACTTTTCATTTCAATGTAATTGCAATTATTGGTACCCAACTGCGATAGGTATCTTTAGCAATTAAATAAGAATTAAAAATAGAAATACATACATTTCCTGCAATATATAAATATAATGTATAAATAATAACTAAAAACTGTGGAAAGTTGGAAGTAGATAAATATTAATGTTAAAAACAGAAATGTTTTGTTTGATGTAATGGGTAGTATGCATATTTTTTCGTACCCTCGCCTAAGGTGGTAGTCCTGCATACAATTACATGATTTTTGTAAGTGTATCTTTATTTGCACTATAAACTACAATCTGGTAAAAACGCTATTTTTTAAACAGCAAATATACAAGAAGATTTAGTTTGATGTGAGTAAGACATTACTAAATGTGTAGTAATTAACAGTCAAACCTATTACATCATGTTTTTCACTTTGTGACTTATCTGCGATTTTTGACCACCTTCAATTTTTCTTCAATTTTTTTAAAAACAAAATATATTAAATTTTATTAACAATGATTTGAATTCACTTTAACCAATTATTAAAATGCCCAAGGTGATAAACTTAATTTTGCCTCATTAAATTTTCTTGTTAACTAATTCTCCAGAACCACTAAATGCTAGTATCTGTTTTTGATTTAATAAAAATGCCAAGCGCAATTTATATGCACCAGGTGGAATATTTGGCGGAAAATTCTCATCGTGAATGCGCTGATTATAAGATACATATTTGCCCGGATATAATGGGCAATCTGTAACATTTTTCCCATCTACATCCTGAAAACTCACAATGCCGTAAAATTGTTTTTTAAACAATTCGCATAGTGACATGTCAATTTGTAATAGTTTTAATCGATATTGATTATTAACACGTCGCAGTACTTTTATCTGAACCATAGGCTGCAAATTAATCAATTAATTAAGTTACCTTAATATTAGATAGTTTTATTATTTAATGAATCACAAACTCTCATTCACCTTATCAGATTTGTCAATTTTGCGTTTAAGGTGTTGAGTGAAATTTACTGCAAATTCTTTGCGATTTATCTTAAACGATTTGAGTGTAACATTGTAATAGGTAGAATTATCAAAATCTTCCAGTTCCGCTCGTTCGAATTTTACATTGTAAGTTGTCTGTTTGGCCCACTAAACAAACAAAATAAACACACAATGAAACAAAGTAAAATAAATATATACCCAGCGCATATTATTTACCTCCAAACCTTTAATTGAAATAATAACAACAGTAAATATAATAATAATTGATAAATTACACATTATTATTTTTTCTGGAAATGTATAATTTTTTATTAGAACTTCACATTGTACTTGACTGGAACCAGCACTAGTAAAATATTTTGATACTTTGAATAATTTGATGGATCCGTAATTTTAAAGTCATTATTATAATTATCAAAGTTTGGCCCAATAACATTTGCAACAATTAAATAAATATTAAAAATATTATCTGATTTATAACGCCAAATTTGCTGGTAATATCAAGCTAATGATCATCAAAATCCAGTGAATACATATATTATCGTAATAAATATTAAAAACATTATTTACTTTATAGCAAGCTACTAGTTACAAAAATGGAGCAAATGTACTTATATATACTTATTGCACTAAGTTTAATTTTTTTTATTTACAACTTCGCCAAAACCACTTATTACCATTATTTCTTTGTTCGCCAGTTTTAGCAAAAATCGTAATTTATATGAACCAACCGGAATATTTGGTGGCAATTGGTCAGCGCGAATTTCTTGATTGAAAATTCCATATTTAATTGGAAGAAGTGGACATTCCTGGACCAAGGTCCCATTGTTAAATCGCAAGTCAAAGGCATGGTAAAAATTCCGCTTCAGCAAATCACAGAAAAGCATATTGAACTGGAGTAGTTTAAGTCGGTATTCATTGCTTACAAAACGTATTACATCTATTTGAACCATAAGCTAAAATCAGTATAGTAATATATTGATACATAAACACATATAATTGCAACAACTTTATCAGGTTTTTCAAATGAACGCTTAAGATGTTCGGTGAAGTTAAACGCAAAATTCTTGCGATTTATTTTAAACGATGTTACTGTCACTTCATGGTAGATTGATCTATCAAAACCATCTAATTGTGCTCGTTCAAATATTATATCATACGTAGTTTGCTTGCCCCACTACAAATAGATAAATTTTCAATGTATAACTGATATGTTCATCACGTTGTCTTTACCTCTAGACTATTAATAAGAATTAAACACATCAAAAATATTAGTATTGTAAACTTTGCCATTGTCTTGCACATACATTCTATTATTCATAGAAGATTTGTTTTTATACCTACACTTATTTTATTGCAAAAAATGCAATTATTTTCAAATGTAGATCAGTATCAGTGTAGCCATTTAAGTCGATATTATAAACCTATTGCATTTCCTGTATAAAAGTTTATAATATAAACCATTTGTTTCATTGTCATGGGACACTAATAATAAATGTAAAGCACCATAATTAAACCATATAGGTAGATACAATCTGCAATACTTAATACTTAAATACATATTACACTTGGTTATAGTTTAGTGAGACATTTAGATTTGCATCTGAGAATATTTTTGATTTTGTTAATCTTACGTCAAATAAATATTATTAGTATTATTGTTAAAACATTGGCTACTCAAAATTTTATTCCATTGTTATTTTGCAAGAAATAATATGTGATTTGCTCTCAGCGGCGTAGCGTGCCTTGTCGGGGCCCCGTATAAAATTTTTTTTGGAGGCCCTTATATGGAGGTAAATATTTTTCCTTACACACTTTGGGGGCCCCCGTGGCCCGGGGGCCCCGTATAATTGATACGGCAAATACGGCGGTAGCTACGCCCCTGTTTGCTCTGTTTCTGCGGAAGTAATGTTTTAAATGTTTTTTATGTGAATAAAGTAGGGTAAAGTAAATGTAAAAGTAATTTTTATTTTATTTATAATGTTTCATATTTCGTTTTGTTACTTATTAACTTACAAGTTCTTGTTCTTAATTTATATTTTTAACTCGTATTGCTTAGTAAGACATACAAAGCGTTTAGTTCCAATATTTAATCCCAAGCTTTATTATTTATAACACTACCATACACACTCAATGCTAAAATCTCATTTTTTTCTAACGTAATTATAAATCGTAGTCTATAAGAACCAGCAGGCACATTAGCAGGTAAATTATCGTCCCGAAATTGTTGATTGTTGCTTATATAACGGATTGGTTGGAGAGGACATGATGTGACTTCTGTGCCATTCAAAAACTGCAATTCCATTACGTTGAAAAACCTTCGTTTGATCATTTCACAATAATGAAATTCCAAATGCACAAGGTTCAGTCGGTATTCATTACTCACACTACGTAATACTCTTATATGCACCGAAACCTACAGGATATAAATAATATATTAATATTACTATAAAGGTTCGAAAAACAATCAATGCTGTTTTATCAACCACCGTGGGAATAAACTAGACTTGATAACTTATGACAGTGCAATATTAATTGCTTTTCATAAAATTGAAAAACCTTATCTGTCCAATTGTAAGAACGTTTCAGATGTTGGGTGTAGTTGAAAGCGAAGTTTTTGCGATTTATTTTGAACGACTTGAATTCTACCAGATGATAATATTGGCGATCATAATTATCCAAATTTACTCTTTCAAGTTTTACCGAATAAGTTGTTTGTTTTTTCCACTAAAATGTTTATAAGATTAAATTAATCAAGAAACTCATATTAGTATCATATTTACTTCAATACATTTTATTTCAAACATACTGATTATAATAAACAAAATTAGTTTTGTTAAATAAAGCATTATGAAAATTTTGCAGTTAGAACATTGAAACTTTGTTTTATAGGGCACATTTAAACAACTAAGTTTGAAATTACAGCTAATATGAATTTCCTGCTTGATGTCTCAATTTAAAATGACCTATTATTATGTTGTTATTTTATCTCGATGTCAGTAATATAATAATACGGGTTTAGATAAATAAAATCTACATTGCAATCTGTACCTATGTTGTTAACCGAAATGTAAAAGTTAGTTTAAAGTTGCTTTTATCATTTGCCACTCTACCTACTTTACGAGGGTAATTTAATTAATGATGTTTGTCATACATTAAAGATATATAATAGTATATATTTTAGATTACATTATTATAACAAGAAATATTGTGGGTCTTTTGGAAAAACATATACATATTCCTGACACTTATTAAAGTTAAACGAGTATTGAAATGCTTTCGTTGTCATTTTAAAGCGTAACCCAAATCAAACTTTTCTAATGAATAGCAAGCGAAATGTACTCGTAAATGTTTACAAATATGGTAAAATATTAAAGGGTAACTCTGCAGAAAACCTGCAACAGGGCAAATACCCTCTCGGTAACTATGCAGATGCATTTATATGAAATGCGAATATGCAATTCGGTCCTTAGCTTAATTGGGTGGATGGCGAAAACTCCAATTAGCAGACATCTAAACGTCCAACAGCTGTCTTCGGTTGTGCCTCTCTAGTGAGTTCATGCAGCATTTTGCTCTTTAGATATCCGTTCAATATTTGACTCGCGCAGTCATTAACCAACATATGTATATATCAACATTTTGAAACTACAATCTTTTATTTGTTACTACCCATATTCTTAAATAATTTATAGATCCAATCAGAAAAAATAATTTGTTAAAATATAGTAATGGAATTTTCTCTAAATTTTAATTTCGTTTCCACTCGACGTTCACGTGCGATTTTAAATATATTCCATACCAATCTACAAATAAAACTATAAAAGTAAAACGCTGCCAAGGGTAGTTGAAGTTGAAACTGAAGAAGTCGCTGTGCAATCAGGCAAAAGCTGGATTTACTTTGCCATTATCTGAATTCGAACCGGAGTAACGTAAGGAGAAGCTGTGCTCACCAACGATGCGCACTGCTTTCCTCATCTTCGCACGTTTGCTATTCTTCAGTTTTCTTTAGTTTCGGCGTTAGGTGTAAGCTAAAAACTCAGCGCGCTGGTTCAGAAGATAGCGACTATACTTATAATCTACTTGGCGTTCCAAACAACTATTCTATTTTGACTCAAATTTTAAGAAACATGAATTAATTCAGCACGTACATTTTGTGCACTTTGACTTTACCTATTTACTTGATTAACAAATTAATTCATATTGTTTAATATTGTTGTTTTCCCATAGTAGCTGTTTAATTTCGCGTAGCGCAGAGACTGTAGAAGGCGATGAGCCGATGGAAAGCGAAATGCTATGGAATTTGCAGGCCCTAATTGCCTGATAAGAATGCCTTACTCGTACAAAACACGCGGAAACGCGGAAAACCCTAATTCGGGGCCCCGGCGTGTTGCCGCCTTTGCCACCCTCACCATCGCTGCCGCCGCAGGTCGTTCGGCATGCGCGGTTGCCCCTTTTCTTTCTTATGGCGTATTATACATTTACATCTTCCTGAAAATACGAAATGTTTTACCTTACGCGTACCCTATATATCCACCCTACTACCTAATTCTACCACAAATACAATACAACCCCTTTTTTCACACTTTTATTTATGTTTTATTTGTTTCCACCCAATCTGTAGCTAAATTCCATTTTATTCTTTTTGTAATTTATTTTTTCATTATTCGCTACGTATAAAGTATTAGAACGGAAATATTCCGTAGTTTGTTGTAAAACAATGAAAATATGGCATCTTACATTAGCATATTATTTTATAGAATACGATACAACGCCCAGTATAATATATGCAGAACAAAAATGTCAAGAAATTGGAACAATGTCGCTACAACAAAAAATGTGCCGCGCTCGGCGCCTCAATTCCCATAGGTAAATATCGGCGTGCATTCGAATTTTCGGGTTATGTAAATCGAGCAAGAAAAGTCGCACACAATAGCGCGCGGGGTCCAATCTGGCAACCGACGAAAATATGCAAGAAATGAGGCAAGGAGAAAACACACGTGCAACACCCACTCTTCGCCACCACGCGACAAGCCCACCAAAACTCAAACACTCGCAATATCTGTCAAACTATTCGCAAAATTCATAGAGAAACATAACTAAAATCGACGCGTGGTATCGAAATATTCTAGTCGTTCGTAGACATCTACAATAAAAATCGGAAATCGTAGAAAAATATCACGAAATGGCGGAATGAATAAAGCAGAAAATTTCGTGAACAAATACGAGCGAGAAATGGCGGAATAGGTAAGGGAAAACACACAGATTGAAGTAGTAAAACGAGTGGAAATATGGAAGAATGAAAGGTAAGAAAAATGCTGCGACGCGTGACAAATACAAAGCTCAATGGAAAAACGTCAGAAGCGATTTGTTACCCGCGAATATTATTCATTGGATTTTTTCATTTGTTTGCCTGCTTCGGTATTCATCAACAACCCTCGCCACACAATAGCGCCGCCATTCTGCGTCACAGTTCTCACCATTTTGAACAACATTGCATTTTTTAAATCACAAAACTCGCAATAATTTTCAATAATTTCAGGAATTCTCGATTTCAGTGCATGACTTTGATTGACCGCAACGACTGAAACAAACTTCATTTTCATGTTAAACCATGCGCTCAGTGTACGAGCATTGAAAATGTCCTTTTGCATTCATGTAAGGTCTATTGTTTAGGGTCAATCTACTTTCTCATGTAAGCTTTCAGGCTAGCTTCGTGAAACAAACGATGGCTCGTTTTATAAGGTGTGCAAGGGGTGGTCAATGTGCGCATTACTCCAAACGTTCAGACACATTTTATAAATTTGGGTTCACGTCGGTTCACGCAGGTCGATCATGCAGCGATCCATAGCTTTGCACGTGTGTGGATTCCCATTCAATCATTCACACCAAGGCCTTGGATTGCTGCTGTATATTTTGCCGCATGGTCCACTTGATTCGCACATATTTATTCATCGATTGTCACCCTTTCAAATTAAATTTATGTACACAATGGAAATTTACTCTGAATTTCAAATTTTCTAGATAATTAATTTGAAACGTATTTTTTTTTTATTTTTAAAGAAAGGGTTAGGCAACATTTTAGATTAGGTTTTGATCTTGTATCAAGTAAACTATAAGATAATGTTTTCGTTTTCGTTAACCGTTAATAGCATTACGTCCACAATCAAACCCGCATTGAACCTCGACGAATTCACATTCGCCGGCAGCTTGCTGCACACCTCCGCCTCCATGTTCAACACTCATGGCAACGCTAACGTTAACATAATCAGTTCACATTGCAGAGGCTTTAGCAACGCTCGTGCATTGTGGCATATTAAATGCCCATACATCCACAGTCAATATGAAGGGTACGTGCTCAGTACGCGTAATATAATCGCATCGTTTCGATCCACATTCCGCATTTCCACACCAGCGCCGACATCAGCAGTGCTTTGGGACATGCGCGGGCTCAATGGCGCATTCGATTAATATTCAATATTAATCTCCGTATCGGTTACCTGGCCGCGGACGATACGCTCGCGCCAATCGACGCTGTTCACGTAACAGACGGTGAAGCTTTAATGTTGCAGCCGGGCGAGAATCGTAAAGAGACAGCAACTGAGAGTTGCAAGCACGGCGGGCGCTAGACGTATAACGATATAATTAATATAAACATAATTATAGCGGCACCTCGGTTCGCCGCACTGCTGCAAACTTCGAGATAGAAATTAAATTTACAAATATTTAAGCCATCTTGGCACAAGATATTAGAATATTAGTAATGTAATTATGTTAAAAAATAAATAAAAAGAGTGAATGTATTGTTAAGAGCTATTTTATTTGAATTATTTTCGAAGTAAATTTGGGAAAGTTCATAGTTTCGAATTCGAAGCACATGCTCAAGGTAAGCTTTCCTGTCTGGAGGGTCGGCGCGGTGGGCCTTAATGAAAGGGTTAAAAGATAATGTTTGCCTTTCATTAAACATTTATGGCCAGCGCTGAAGTCTGGTTACTTGATTCACGACCGGCTTCCTCCTCCTGACATGCCCGTGTGCCCTTATTTAATGTACATTTATAACACGGTTATCGATGTATATCCGAACCAAGCGTTTTATGAGCGGTTATCGGCGTATTGGTTCTGCATACGTGTCCATCTGGCAGTAGCAGCAGCAACATGTGGGAACGTGATGCTCATTTTGCTTCTCGCTCTTGTTAGTGCTGCTGCGATTACATGACTGAAGAAGGAAATTCATCGATTTGTTATGGATAACTATCAGCGCTCTAAGCGCGACGCAATTCAAGTAATTTATGATTAATGGTCCTCAATCACAAGAGGCATAAACGCGAACGACTGAAAGTATTCTACATGGGATTAATCTAGCTGCAGATATACTAAATTAATCATCTTGGTTTTAATTTAATTAAAGATTGGAAAAAATAAAGTTGATTAAGAAGATTACAACATTAAACCACAATTAAAAGCAAAAATATTGTATAATCAAGCAGTTGAAGTTAAAAACTGAAAATGTGAGTATGAACTTATTTGAATGTAATTCTTACAAACAAAATCACATCATTATATACATTATCCCTGTAAAAGTAGCCAGAATTCTGTGGAAAATGCGACGCCTGATCTGATTCATAGCAGGGCTTGGCGACGTAAGTACGTTACGATGGTACATTCATGTGAGCGCGTCTCCAAATTTATACCGCGCAAGATATAAGCTTTTGGGGTAATGAATTTCGCAGATATGTTTTACAATGCCATAAAAGTCACGACAAACTTATGTCACAGCGTTCACTCCTCGGAGTTCCATACGATGCCGCTTTCGTAGATAGGTTTATTTAGAAACCAAACCACCTTGCGAGTATGGTTATGTCTTAAGGCTCTTAAATTTGGTGTTTGTCACTGCCTGTCTACAAAAATTGCAATTTCGTTCATATATTCATATATTGTGTATACTTACAGACACAAATTGTATTATACCGATTGAAATCAACATTTTT